CACATAGGATAACAAATTCGTACGGGTATCACAGAATTGACAAGGTCAACTCTATTTTTTTTCTCGTTTTATAATACAACTGTGTAAAAATTCCATCTCCTATACATATTATGTTTTTTTAATTGAGAACAAGGGACACGGAAATGATATTTGAGTGAGTATACAAATATAGTGATAATTAATTAAAAAAAGAAGGAAATTTCTTCTTTACAACATATTTTTTGAATTCAGAATGAAATTTATTGGACGAAGAATTTAACAGTAACTATATGGCATACAATATACAAGTACATATTATTACACAAAATTCTGAAACGTTCTCTTTTAAGTACTGTACAATAAGAGTATGTACATGTACGGAAAATATGCACCTATGTATATTATACACATACAAACATATTTAATTATTTGAGTTTTTAATTAAAAAACAAAATTTTCAAATAAATTTTAAATGTTGAAATTCATTTGAAAGAATGAAGTTTTTCGAAAATTTTTTAAATTAATTTAATTTTTATAATTGAAAGTGGTAGATGGTATAATTGAAACCTTTATTCAAATTAAACTTTGAACTTATCAGTTGTTATGGCTGTTTAAATTTAAGTAGTACAATGATATTTATATCGCTAGAACATTTTTAACTTATAAGAATTCAAATATAAAATTTTTCAATAAAAACATAACTACTAAATAAGTATTAAATGGTGTAGAAGTGAACATTTTTTAAGATTTTAAATTTAAAACTAGTTTAAAGGCCGTGTACAATAGTGCAGAAATAACTATTTTGAAGGACTGGTAACTAAATTTAATAAAATATTAACATGACACGCTTAAAGCAGAATTTCAAAGCATTTTAAATTCTAAAAGTAATAGCTTCAAGTTGTAATTTCTATACAACTGCACAATTGGTTTTATTCTTCGATAGGCTTTTCACAGTTGATAAATTCAGATAATTTTATGCTAAAATCATTAAGTCAATTTAGAAAGATTTATCCAGCAAAAACGCTCAAATATAACAAAATCATTTTAAGTGTTGTAAACGTTTTCATGCTTTAAATTTTTTCTTAACGCTGAACAAACCTTAAAAATGTCTTGCAATGTAAATATAAAAATTAAGAATTTAAGAAAGTTCTTAAGAATATAAAAAGTATTTGAAGCAATATTCATTTCAGTTACTAAAAATATAGCGGTGAGAGCTTTAATTTTAAGCAGTCTACTTTAACTTTAATAGCGCCAATTAAATTTAATAAATTTTTATATAAAAATACCAAAAAATTTCTTGAACAACTTTAAGTTTATCTTGTTTTTTTATTTATTTTTTCAAGTTATTAGAAATGTGAAATTTCTTTTTAGCATTTTTCCAAACATTTTTTTTAAAGTGCTTATTTGTTTCATTTTCTCCGTCCGTAGACAGGTTTGCAAAAGTTCTATACACTTGAGAATAGACAGTTAAAATCATGATTATATACACACATATCTTTACTAGAAAATTATTTCCATAAAAAGAACTTTTTACCTATTTCCCCACTCCCAAAAGTTAGAGCCCCAAAAAGACTTAAAAATATCATTTTTGATTATCGTTTGTAACTAAATAAACCATAAGCATTTTTGAAATTCTGCAAACGCAAAAAAATAGTGGCTGGTTTTTCTACGGCGTACAATACAAGGGAACTTTAAAGAACACAATGGCCGTTAAAATTAACCATTATCTAAAAAGCGCTTTTTCAAATTTTTTATATTGTTTTTCTTTTAGACAATAAGCTGTAGTGGTCTGAAATTTAAGCAATTTTTAGATATAAACAGTTTGTTTCGTTAGAAGAAAATTTTTTTCTGCCTCTACCCGAAATTTATAAAATTTGAATTTTTCACCTTATATCATCAAAACTGCAGCACGGTATATGCCATGCCATAAAAAAATAATTATTTTTCTTAAATCATGCAATTATCCCTGTAATTCGAGTATTATTTTGACGCCTTTTTCAAATATTTTTCTCGACTCATCCTAAATGTATGTAATTTTGAAACATTTTGGTTTATAAATGAAAGTAGTTTGAACAATATTATTATATTGTAGTTTGCAAGCAGTATTTTCAATTGAAAGGAAAAGTGCTACTTTACAAACCAATGTTTTGTCACAACTTTATTCTTTTACTTTTTGTAACTCTTAAACTGATCTCATATTAAAAAGTTTTTAAATAACATTATTTTATTATTATTATAATTTCACAGCTATTAAATACCTATATACTTAACTTTAAAGTTTTCCTTTTATATAATTCACACTTTCTCAGACAATTGTTTTAAAAGATAAAAATTGTCCTGAGTAAAATGAGAATTTCAAGATAAAATTAAGTTTTAACAATATACCCCAGCATTTCAAAGCAGAATACTTTAACACTTTTTTCGACTTTACAAAAATTAAATTAAGAGAAACAAAGAAAATCATGGGGAGAAAGCAAGAAATATGGTAAAGATGGTAAAAAATAGAAATGAAGATAAAGAAAATATAATGGAGATAACTATGGAGAATATGTAGGGGGAGAAAGCTAACACGTTATTTTGATAAAAAAATTATTAAATACAAAATCTTATGTTAACGATATCTACAACTTTTGTACATAATTTTTGGATGTATAATATTTTCATGATAAGAAATTTTGGGATTGGGTACAGATGTTTTTGACATAATTTTAGCAAAAAAAAAAAAAAGAACTTAAACTTTTCTAAAGAATAAAATTTTAAGGTACGGTGAAACAATAACAAAAATATAATTATAGTTAAATGAGAAATTAAATGTGGCCACTTATTGAATGGAAAGGTATTAAAATATTAGTAAAGGTATTTGTTGCCAAAGTAATATGTTTAAATATTCTCAAGTTTTTGTCCACTTCAAACATTCGGGCGCGTGACCCGAAAAGGTACAAAGAAAATACAATGCACTGATATGATATAAAAGTTATGGTCGTTCAATATTCCAATCGTTTAAAGATCAAACATCTCTAATAGGTGCTGTTATTTAACAACAATACTTCTTTGAAAAAGAAACTATAATTTAAACTTCAAATGAGGGCCATAGTTGTGAAGGCAAATATCGAAGAATTTAAGACTAATGAATATTATTCAACATTAATTTAATTAAATCTACTGCTGAAACGAACCTCATTCAATCCTGATAAAGTCAGGTAGACGTATTGACAACTTTGTTTTGTTGGAATCTATACGAAAATGGCCAAAACTGAAAATTTTTAGACATCTAAATTTGTATCAGATTATAACGATAATTTTGAAGTGTTATAAAGAACTTTTACTCAAATTTCGCATAACAGAAACGAAAATCTAAATGCTTGAAATTAAATACCTTAATATATTGCTTTAATTCAGCAAAATACACCCAGATTTTTATGATAGAGCGGAGGTTTACAATTTAGTCAAATTTACGAATAAATGTAACACAAACAATGAAAACTTAAAATAAATTTCATGGCCTATATTCTTGATCTTTGTCAAGGATCACTTTTTAATCTTGAAAAAAAAAACCTTGACTATAATTTCAATTTTTTCACACTATAATATTTTCCACTTTTAATATTTTGTATGAATAAATATATGTATAAATGTAGGTAGCTTTATTATTAAAGAAAGGAAAATCTAAAGGGTACTCTTCTAATGTATTGAGGATGGGGTGAGACGAAGAATATAAAAATAATCACTTAATTGAATGGGAGAAAAAGGGGATAAAAAATTTTATTTTTCAGATTCTTTGTAAGAACGTTAATGTAACAATAATCTGTGTTATAAAAAGTATATATACGATTAAAATTATTCAAATTACTTTGTGATCCTAGATAATTTTTTTAGTCCTTCAAAGGTTTGTGTATAAATACTATGTATATAAAGTTGGTATAGTTTAAAAGCTTACAAAATACAAAAGGTGCAATCGATATAATTATAAAATCGATAAAGTTTTATGCAAATTTGTTGCAACGATAATTATTGTTTGTAGTTGTAAGGATTAAAGAACAGGGTGATATAGAAAGTTTTTTTGAGATTTTAATTAGAAAAAGGAATTTTAATGTTTGAAATGAATTAAGTGATATATGCTTTACCCCATATCGATTTTTAATTAAATAAAGTAAACAAGAATATTTTTTTAATAAATTTTCCGGTCTAAAAGACTATATTTGTAGAATGTATAAACGAAGCCGACAATGACCAATGAAATTAATGTTGTATAAATGTTATTAATTATTGTTTTTTGCTTTTATTTTTTTAGTAGAAAAATGTATATCGTAACTTCTATAAGTTTAGAAACAAAATTTGGTAGCTTAATCCTTATTATTATCATTATTCGCTCGTTTAAGAAATTAAGTATTAAAGCGAAAAAGGTAAGGTTAGAAAAAGCCTTGTGAACAAAAGATAATAAGAAGTACGAATTGGGCTTATAAGACCAAGAGACCACTTTAGATTTTTAAAGTTGAGCTATTTAAGCATCGAAACATAATGGTCGGGGTATGGTATTCAAATTTCAATTCATATTACTCATAGTGAGTTCTAGTATCTACTTAATATACTTATTTTTGGATTTCAAATGGTTATATATACATACAAGGATCCTGTATATTCCTATTACATAGTTTTATGCAAATTATGAAATTTTCCCTATTAAATTATAAAATATTTTAACTTTGCAAATATTTAAATAATATTCGCATGCATTTTGGTATCTAATTAAAAATTGAACAACATTCTTGTTGTTCCTGTGGTTTTAACTATCGTGTGGTTTTTATTAAAATAATAACAATTAAGGTAGTGAAAAAAAAACAAGGAATCCAGTTTCATTCTAAACACATATCTACATATTATGTGTACTATAGCTAATACAATCAATGCAATTAAAATAAATTTGCAATTTAAGTAATGATGAGATATTATACATTATTAGTTATACATTACATAAAATTATTAATTTATTGAATATTGTAATAAATTTAAATGTAACTTACTTCACCACTATATAAATCTGATGCATACAGGTGATCAAATGGCAATGCCGCTAATATATCAACTACAAACCATCCACGTAAATAATTAAGGCAAATCATTTTAGCATCTGATACTACTTCACCTTTACGAGATACAAAAGTTGTACGAAAATTTAATAAGATATCTGAAATTAATAAAATAATATTTAATTAATATAAATTTAAAAATTTACTATGTTATTATTTAAAGTTATTGATTTATTATATTACTAATTTAAAATTTATTAATTTATTATCAATTAGAAGATGCTCTAGCATGAAAAAAGCAAAAAATAATCTCATGAGACGGTGCTCCAGACCATTTTAAAGATGCTTCTATCAGTGGATGTGACAACTTACTAAGATATGGCAATTATTTTTTGATTTATTTCGATAAAATTAAAAAATTACAAATTGAACATATATATATATTTTAAGCTGAAATAGAAATATTTTATGGGAACAAATGTCTTCTATATCTAGACAACTTTGAATTTAGCAAGTTGTTAAAATTTCCAAACATTCGTTGCTACTTCGGGTACTTGTTCGACTAATAGAAGTTGAGACTTAAGTAAAAACACAGTTTTAAGTTTCTTCGTAAACGCTTTGAAAATTGTAAATGTCAATAATGAATTTTTTTAATTAGAATTTTTAGATATAACTATGTTCGGCATAAAAGAATTTGCTTTAAAATTTGACTCTTGCAGCAGCTTGATATTAAAAGCACTAGAATTTTTAAATTATGCAGCACTTGCGAATTTAAATTAAGGATACAAAGAAAATTGTAAAATTAAATTTTAATAAAATATTTTTTATTTTTTCAAAAAAATTTTTACGTTTGCAAAGCAAATTTTCGCTGAATAAAATTTGGTCCATTTTACAACTCAATTACTTCGCTTCAAATTTTTAAACTGTTTTAAAGGATTTAATCAAGTGACAATGGTAACCCTTCACAGAATTAATTCTTTTAATTCTTCATGGGTTTATTATACTACTACATGGTACTAATATTGTCGAATACCTATAAAAAATTTATGTAAAATTGTAAAGAGTTTTTTAAAACTCCTGATCCATAAAATTTTTAAAAATCAGTTTGAGTCTAATTTATATGTGTATGAAGAGATTTAAGAAACAGAAACAAATTTTCAGCAAAAATAAAGGATGAATTAATTTCAAAAAAGAATATTAAAATTAATTTATCAAAATTTTCCAAAACCGACTTTAATTTTTAACTGGTTTTTTCCAATTTTTCAAAATGAAAACAAATTTAAAAGCAATACAAATCAACTCTTCCTTAAATTTCTTAATGTTGTTTTAATTTCATTTATGATTCATTCCTGTTTTTGTTATACTAAAAGAAATTTTTATGTAACTGCGATTTGTGCTCCTAAAAATAAAATCATATTTTCGTGTAGCACTGTTATGTATGTATTTATGCCACACAAGTACGATATTTATAACGAAATGTATGTACTATATTATCTATATGTGTAGGTATTCCATCAAATATTGTACACATGTATAGAAGTACAACAACTAAGTTATCATCTGCATTTTCATTGTTCAGTTCTAATGAAGTTAATTAAATAAAAACTTGTGACATTATTATACTTTGGATCTTCTTCTTCTACAACGTACAACGTAAAGGAAGAAAAAACTATCTACGCAAAAAGGAGAGAAAAAAAACAGAATTTTAGAGAAAGTTGGTCCTTACAATGGCTATTCTATGTGTTCTTTTTCTTGTTTTTTTCTTTTTATACAGAGAGAAACCATAAAATATCATGATTTTGTCGAAATTATTTCTATATGAAGTGATTATGTAGCTGCCCTTTATTTTTTTTTTGTGAACATACAGTTATCCACCATTGATTTTTTTTTTTTTTGCAATCCTTATATAGCTTTGAAGGTCGTTAACAGAAAAAACATAAGACAAAACAAAAATATAAAGACACAATAATGAAAATTAATTATCTTAATTGGTGTCATTTTGATTAAATTTATAATTTAAAAGGGGCGGGGGGATGGAGGGTGGGATTATTATTTTGTCATCTAAATTTTTGATGGTATAAGAAACGGGTACCAGATACACATACATTTTTGGAATCTAAAATGTGAACCTTTCTGTGCAAATAACTATAGTGATTTGATTTTTTTATTTAGCTTTGTTTTTACATAAGTATAATATTTAAGTGTTGATAGTTGGAATTGTTTAACGTGTGTTGAGTTGTGATTTTGTTAATCGGCATTAATCATGAGTGTATGTTAAAATTTCTTGTACATAAAGTAAAGTTAGATCAAAAAAAGTATGCTCAAAATACTATTCTTTCAGTAACCCATTTGGTGAGTGTTTGTACATATGAATTGTACTGTGTTATTTTAATTTTTTTATTGGATGTCTGTTGAAAAATGTCACAGTTTATAAACAGCGTCTAATTAATATTACATAAATGGGATCTAGAAATAGTGCTCGTGTAATTGGATTGCAAATCACAAAAGATCCTATGGGTCGATTTGTATTTTTTTGCAACAATAATTCTTAATTATGGATTTAAAAACTCTAAATTAAACATCAGAATAAAAACATTTTATTGATTTATCGAGGATCACTAAGATCTATTCTAGCATCTTCATTTTCTCCAAAGAAGTCAAGATTTTTTAAGTTCTTACCATAGAATCCCTATGGCTTCCTAAATCATATGTTAGCAAAAAAACTCTTAAAGAAATTATAGTCGAGATTTTGTAAATCATTAACACAATTGTAGTTTGTGTAAGGAATAACAGAGCTGATACAGTAAACTACATACTTATTTTTATTTATATAATTGAATAGCAAGACTGGTATAACAAGTCTTATTCAATTCAATCCTCATAAATATCCTTTTTTTTTCTGTTTTGATTTCGCAATAAAATTTATTAATAAATGAATAATACCAATTTTATTTTATTATTTAATTATTCAGTATCCTTTCAATAAATCTCCAACACACATATATATATGAATACATAATTTATTTAATTAAATAATTTTAAACTTACCTACAATAAAAAGCGCTTCAACGATCACATCTGGTATCATGGTTTGGCGATCCGATTTAACAAATGCCGCATTAAATGGTACAATGATAGCTACATAAAACGTAGCAACTAATATTATCCAATCCCAACAGGTTTTAAATACACCATAGTGTGATAGAATAAATCTAGATTTTTTTATTGATTGTGTTTTATATTCAGGAAATGGTGCCTCAGTTGAATGTAATAAATTCTGTTGAACATTAATTGAGGTTTTCCGTGATGGAAAAACAAAACAAAAATATTTTTTTTTGTCGTCCATATTATGTTTCATTTTATATTGCAATGCAAATTTATGAAAGTTGCCGCCATTGTTAAAAAATGAAATTGTAAAAAAATAGAAAAAAAAGAAAACATTTATTCCAATATTTAATTTTAATTCAAATACATTAAAGAAAAATCGAAAAGTTTTTAATAAAATTCAAAAACAGAATGCTTTGAATGCTTTTAATTGGGGTTGGGATTTTTCAATATTATTTTTATTGCATTAACTGATTAATTGTTCTTAATTTTTCCAATTAATTAAGAGCAAATTGGAATGATATAGGAATTCACATCAAAGTAGCCAAAACACCAATAATCTACTTTATTTGAGAATTTGATAAGCCTTAACGATAATTGGTTCTGATTTTTCTAAAATGTAAAATAATTTTCAAAAATTATGAATTTCCTTCAGTTAAATCTCAAAACAAGGATGTTTATTTAAAAAAGAAGCAAAAGCTATGGCAATAAATTTTACCTTTTTGATTTGAATTTTATTTAAGAGGTTTCGTAGTGTCGATTAAATTAATTTTCTTACTGTCCCTGTTTTCTGAATATAAAATGTGAGCAAATTATCATCGGGTTTACTTTTCGTGTAAAAATTTGTACGGGATGAAACAAAACAAAAATTTCAGATTCCTGAAAATCTTTAAGATCTTTTTTCACCTTTTTGATTTCACTTTTAACATTTAGATACGATTTGAATACTGTTCTAATTGAATTTTAATATTTGTGAAATTTTTAATATTAATTAATGATTTGTATTGAACACAATTAAAATTATACAAATAATTTTGATTGGATTCTTTAAAGATGCTAGTTTAGTTGATTTTTTTTTTGGATTGGCTGACTTGAAAGCAAAATGGAAATAATAAATAAAAATTTTTGCAAAATAGTTTGCTCTTTAATAGCCACTGGGCTTTAATTTTCTTCTCAAGTAGTTACTAGAGCTTTTTTTTTAATTTAAACATTTCGACTTAACTTTATTGTTATATGAAAACCTTTGTTAAATATGTGCATTTAAATTATATATTTTATTCTTACCACACTTAAATTATACTTACATTGCCTAATTTTAATTTTGTTTTAACTTTTTCTGGTTTATAATGACCGGACAATTGATAAAGCACAGCACGTGAACGCCTTCTTCCCATATTACAGCCAGGCGGAACTTGTAATCCATTGCCACCATCTGAATCATCAGTTGGTGGACCTAATATACCAGCATCTGTACCACGAAAACGTGCTCCTAATAAGGCGGCTGTAAGTGCAAAAACTTTTGCAATAATAAATCATATCAATTGATTTGGCGTAACATTTGTGTGAAAAAGCGGTAAAAACAAATTAAAGTATTATTATTTTTTTTTTTGTTTTGTTTTAGACCCCTTTTTTTTAGGAGAGGGGACAACAAACAGAATAACATTTGAAGTAAGTAGAAATTGTTATTTATGGTAAGTTCAATTTAAAGCTTGCAATGTTTGAAAATTTAATAAGGTACTATACATACATACAAACATAAAATATTTTGTGCGATGTTTCGGGCGGTCGGATTAGAATTTTTTCCTTTGTAATAAATGGAAAATATTCTATGTATATAGGTACAAAATTGGGAAAATACGTTCAAAGATTGGTTTTAATTATTAAGAGTGAACAGAATTTACAAGAATGATGCTTATACAAAAATATTAGGGAAGGTTCTTTCATACCCAAGATCACACAACACAAATCACAAAATGAACCATACAACGCAAATTCTAGATTAAAAATAATTGAAAAAATCAATAAGAAATTTTAAAACAAATTCTAATCTGATGGAAGTTAGAGTTTCTAGTGTAATGCTAAACAAAATATTTGACCATGTTCTTGTGCAATAATAACCTTATGGCTACCAGTAAAATTACATTAAAACCCATAAATCTTTTACAATCTGATTGGAAAAAGGAAATTGGAAGTAATTTTTATTTTATTGTTATTTTTTCAGTGTTAGCCGAAAATTTCTCAAATTTTTTGTAATTTTAAGAGATTTCACTTGAAGTTTATTTATATGAAAAAAAAAAAATTCTATCCTTAAAAATTGCAGATTTATATGTGTTTGAATATGATATTCATTGGAGGATTATTATCCTGTTGAAGCACATCATGACATGCATACATTTATGTATGTTATGTTATACAAGCTCTTCTTTTGCACTAATTATTATTACTGCTTTTTGATTAAAGGAAGTACTGTTGGAAGTAAAATTAATAAAGTGCCAAATATTTCAGAAATTTCAGAGTGCAAATTATAAATTATAAAAATTATACTATTCTTTAAATTAACAAAATTTTGCTGAAGTTTCAAAGTTAAAACGATATGAGAACAGTTGGTTTTATTTTTTTAACATTCATTTAAAATAAAAATTAAAAAAGTTTTAAATAATCCTACGCTTTCCAAGTATTTAAGTATATTTTTCAATAGAAAATATACATAGGTATTTAAGGAACCTTTTTCTTTTTAACTAGATATTTTTAATATATTCTTTCATTTTTTCATTAGCCTAATACGAAATAGATTTAGAAAATTCTTTAATTTTGTCCAATACACTTGGGTATTTTTATTTTTTTTTTTTTATTTGTTTTTTATATATAAAAATTCCTCACATCTTATAGGAATCTTCATATTTTTCATATAATTGACCATTCAGCAGAAATAATTTTTTTTAACAAGTCACCACAATTCAATAAAAAAAAAATTTATATAAATAAAATTCCAAATAATTCCTTTGAAAAGGAAAAGGAAGATCAGTAGAATTTTTGTTATTATCATAAATGTATATATGTATGTTCATTATTTGATATGTATTATGTATAAAGATACGTCATATATACAAGGTTGATGGTTTAAAATTCATAATATTTAGTTTGGAATTTTAATAAACGTGTAGCTATGTATAGCAGTTAGAAAGTTATTTTACGAGAACATTTTTATTCATTGAATTACAGTAAAAAAAAATAAAAATAGGCCATCATATATGGGCTAGAATGTATTCCAGAATATTTTCTGGTCAGTGTACAAAAATTAATTTTATTTTCCTTTGACTCCTCGAATATATTAAATAATTTTATATAAATATAATTAATGCGTATGTATAAATAAATGATAGTAAATGAGAATTTTGAAAAGGATATTAGAAAATTTTCCTATAAAAATTTTGACATGTTTAATATTACATACTTTACATACACATTTTAACATTAATTTGATATTATACAAAATGTAGATCAATATTTAAGGAACGTACATAAAATTTTTGTTAATGAACAATTTATTTATTATTTATCAATGATCACTAAGAAAAGTTATAAACATACAAAATTTATTTGTAGGCATAATGGCTCGGATATATTAAAAGTTTTGTACGAAACTATATTTTGCTCAAACCAAAAGCAAGTTGGTTTTATTTATAGCTAAAGCTATGCTTTCGTAATAATTTAAATAATTTTATATTTCATTTGGTTCTTATTTTATACAATTCGCCTACGCTTTAAAGATAAATGAAAAATAAAACTGATATACCCACACAAAATATAATACAAGATTGTTTTTTAATTAATGCAGGATTAATAAAAATACGACGGTTACTATTTATATTTCGGGTCCTGGCAATACTAGTGCTGCCAGGTGCATATCTGACACTTCCATTGCAAAAGTGTATTGATCTTCATGGGGAATATTTTGAAAAACAATAAAACCATTTCCAATGATAAATGTTTGTTTTTTATTGCTAGACCCGAAATATAAATAGTGACCCTCGTAATATTGTTTTTTTGTTAAAAATTATTAATATAATTTCTATTAATTCGGCAGCTATAAGTAAAAGTTACTATCGTAAAAAAAATATCGAATGTTGTTCATAATTTAAGCAATTATTTCATCAATATTAACAAAATTGATCTATCACCTTAGATAGTGTTGAAATAATAGCTTTTACTCCTTATAAAAGCTACAATTTTTAAATTACAACCTTCATTCTGTATTTCATTCGTCGTTTTTTCCAGATTACGATAGCTTCTAAAACTCATTTCAAAACAAGGCCTTTGAGTCAAAATCAAATGAGGCCTTTGTAATAAACTTCAATTTGATTATTAGTCCAGTGGAATTACATTATTTCTAAGGTCAGTATGTGGGATGATGAAATTGAATGTTTTGTCGCGTGTATTACACAAGTTAAATTTCATAAAAATTTTTTTCGTTTTGGTCATGATAAACTCATTTTTTCAATCTCATATAATATTCTTATGTATATTTCCAAGAAGATTGTAATAATATACGAAGAAATTTATTCAATTTTCAAGGAACATTTATAAATAAATTGGGAAAATTACAAAAGACACACACATACACACATTTAATAATGTAGTAACATTATAATGTTAAAAAAACGTAAATTATTGATAAAGTATAACACAATATTTTTTACGTTTTTGTATTTTTTGTTTTTTTAGAAACATATACTTATAAAATAAGGAAGGAAATATATACGGTTATTGGCTAAAAGACGACATATTTTGATGTACATTAATTGGGTACGTGTATGTAAGTTTGTATATTATATTAATAGGTATGTGAATTTGTAGTTAAACAGCTCAGTTATACATTTACGTATATAATAATATATAAATATATATACTTACCGCTATCACATTCATCAGAAACTGACATCTCAGACATTTTTTGCTCTGTAATGTCCTTATGAGAAGCGAGAAATAATACAACATCTCGTTTCTCATTTTTTATTGGAACTATATCGAATAGACACCAAAATGGTCGCCCTGTTTGTTATTATAGAAACAAAAAGAAAAAACAAATCAGAAAAAAAAAGAAAAAATTAGAAAAAGGCATAAAAGTGAAAAATTAAAAAATAAATTGATATTTTTTTTGTATACACACGAGTATAAAAAATATTTGTCAGATTATATAAATTTTTTTTTGTTATGAGTGTATATTTTATATGTGAATTTTTTTTTGTTAATAAACACATGAGTACATACTGAAAATATTCGGACTCAAATGATTAATGAATTTCGATTTGTAGTTGGAGACCTTTTGATAATTGAGGGGGGCTATTTTCAATTTTTCTTAAAATAGATTTGTATATAAATAAAGTGAGGTCAAATCAATGGTTTGTGAAGTAACACTTTTCTCTCGAGCTATTGAAAATACTGCTTTTTGAAGTTATCTATTACATTTTAAAAAATAGCGTGCATTCATATAACAATATGTTTTAAATTATTGCATATATTTAGGGTGAGATAAAATTTACGAATTTCGAGGAGTGATAATCTGATAAGTGAGGAGTCTACATTTTTCTAAGTTATTAAAGAAAAAGCAGTACTTATTAAGAAAAATAGAGTACTGTAAAATATTTCTCTCAATATCTCCCAAACCTGATCAGGTAGCGTAATGACCCATATACCAAATTGAAGCTCTATGAACTATGTACCGGAATAACATCAATTATAATTTAACTACACAAAACTCTTGATATATTTAAGCTGTATTTAGCATAACTTGTTAAGAGCAACATAATTTGGGAAAATATTGTACGACATTGAATAAATTTAAATGACAGCTCTAAATGAGTTGATTCGGTAATCCCACTAGATTCTTTTAATGTGTAATTTTAAAACTTAATTTTAGAAAATGACATTTTATTCAATAATTAAATGCCATTCGGTGGGTAGAATTAATTTTATTTATTATAATGTCCATATAAATATTTATTGAAATTTTATGTTATTTTATTCCAATTTGCTTTGATGTTGAATCCCTATCTGAATCCTTAATAGCTGATTTGATTATAGTAATAACACTTTATAATCATAAGAACCTTTTTTAATGACTTAAAAGTTCAAACACCTGTTTTTTCTTCTCTCTGTGATTATGATTATTGCAAAAATTTTAAAATCACAAAATATTTTTAGCATTCCTGTGTATATGTGTATGTTTACACATTTTTCTATAGGACGATTTTATAATGTGTTTTAGAAAATTTTTTCCATTTCAAATACTGTTGGGTACATACGTATATATGTATGGGTACAAAAAATATCCTTAAGGAGAAGTAAAATTTTAGTATAAAGAAAACAAAATACCAAACGGAAAATGGAAATGGAAGAAAAGGATATGTGATGATCTTATTGTAATTCCTATTTTGTCGCCAACATCCTGATTTTATAGTTTGGGGAATAACATAGGTATGTTTGAATAAACGTATTTGTAATAAATTGTGTATTATCGTTTTACAAGAACATAAAAATAAATAGTGATAATGAAAGTAATTATCCAAAAAAGAAAGAGGGAAAAATATTTTTCCCAGGGTTACACTTTTTTCTTTTATTGCTAAAACAATTTTTTCTTATTTAAGTATTTAAAAAAAAAAAATTGTTCCTGATTTGAAGATATTTTCACTAAATTTTCACAATAATTTTCATTATGTAATGTGTTGTATGTTATCATTGGAATTTTACAGAATAATTTGTTTTTTTTTTTTACTTACCATCTTTTTTATAAAAAATAACTTCCAATTTAAGTTCCAATTTATTTATTAGACTTTTTTCTATTTGTTGTTTGTGTTCTTCTTTTGTTTCTGGGCCATACAAAAAATGACAGGAACATCCTGAAAAGAATTTGATAAAGAAAATCATTAATTACGTAATTTGCATTAATATCCTTGTTGTAAGAGCTATGAGATAAATGTTGTAGTTCAACGTTAAGATTTCGCACTGGAAATTATAATTATTGTGTTGCAATTTCCAAAAATGTTAAAATTTTCAAATCGTATTTATAACAGAGAATAAAATTTAGTTTTTAATTATAATTTTTGAAAATTATACCTAATACTACTAAGTTAAAAAAATGTACTGCTTTGATTAATATAAAATGTGTTTAAAATTTCAATTAAATTTAAAAAGTGCTTATTATTTACAATTAATATTCAAAATATTATTTTGAATATTTAGATTTTTTATGATTTTGTTATAAATGGAAAGAGGATATTAAATTTGTAGTCAAATCAAGGATTAGAATTAAAAATTGCATTAAAAATGCATAGTTTAGTGACCTGCACAGAACGTTTCGCAAAGTTAAAAAGTAAAAGCAGATATAAAGTTCATTAACTTATAAGCAGCCTTAATAATATCATTACCACAATTCTAGGAATTAAGATTAATTTGCAAAATTAATCTTAAAAATATGCAAAATTTTAGATTCACAGGCTTATTCCTTTCATAATGTATGAACATTACTACAAACATTTCATAATTCTATCGATCTCAAGTCTCGGAGGTTACGCCTGAGCAAAACTTGTTGAAGCAATGTTGAATTAATTTTAAAAACACGACCACTGTATGCAAACATAAGAATTCGAGAAATTCAAATCTCGAATTGAAGCAAAGAGCATTGAAAGAAAAAATTTATACTTTTACAGCAGCAAATAGCAAAAATCTACTTACGGCATTATTTATTTGTTTTAAATATAATATACAAAAGTAGACCATTAAAATTCGAAGTATTCTAATAGCACACTTAGTTAAACGATTTGTTATTAAAAATTCCAATAATATTTTTCAAAACTAGTTACATATTTATTGTCCGTATTTAAGGTATGTAAGCAATTATTTTACGATATAAATTTAACAACTTAAAGGTTAAAGTTTGTAAATAAGTTTTACATGCACACAAGGGTATAATATTATATTCTGTCGTAATGGTCACGAACTTATAAAATGTATACATGGTTAGATTTAAAAAAAAAGATACACTTTATAACAATTAATAAGTTTATCCCTTAAATCTTAAATTACCCTCAAAAAATGATGTGTATCATAAAATACTGGACAGTAGAAATATAATGATTATAAATTGTACAAAAATTACTTGCAGCACATAAATCACTCAAATGCTATACTTGTAATAACGCAACAATATCCTTTCTTATTCTTGATATTTACTAGAACTCTTATTCAATACTACTGTCTAGTCAAAAAAGATAACATATTGTATAGCATATAATACAAATGTTTTGGTAATATCCTCATGAACGACATACCATGATGTAAAAAATAAAATGCAATGTATATACTTTATATTTATTTTCACTTTAGTAACAAAGTTTTTAAATCACTTAAGAGTTTATAATAAGTTCAAAACCACGAATATGTGATGAATTTCTTTAGAGTTTCAAAAACTATACTAAAGAAGTTTGCAATTTTGTTTTAAAAATTTTGGATTTTTTTTTATCTCATACATTGCTAAAATGTTTAGTTTTTAAAGTGTATAATATTTTTTATACTAACTGCAACTGTATGCAACTTAAGTAAATATGCTTTTCCTTTTGAAAAAAAAAAATAAAATTATTAACAGGAAAGTAATGCACTCGTATATTTCAATTTCAGTGAAAAGGATATTACAAAGTAAATCTTATGTAAAGGATTTATATACAGATTATAAACGAATAAACTGAATACTGAACTGTGGACTGAAGGGGATTATTATTTTAGCAACATAGTAATATTTGCTAACATAAAGATCATGACAGGCAAATAGAGTGTTGGTAAATATGTAAATGATGAATTATTAATAATTTTTCAAGAATATTTTTATATAATAAAGGCAAGTGAAAAGTTTAGAGCGATACGTGCAAAAATTTCAATTGCAGTTAATGAATATTAGATTTAAATAGCAGAGGTGCGGGGTTGTAAACTATAAGACAGTATAACTTTACAAAATTTCAATTGATTTTTATTTGTGTATAAAAGAACGTGTTATAATGTATTGCTCAACAATTTTAAAGTAGTTTAACGTTGGTTTGCAGTAAAATTAAACTTTTTTAATGGATGGTAAGGTATGTGTATTTGAAGCTTAGGTATATGAACTTAAAGACTAATCGTGTGTCTTGCTCTTTTACTCAGTTTTTATTCACTTTCAAACCAGAATTCTTGGTTTTTCTAATGGATATTTCCAATCTCATTTTTCCAATAAGATTACTCTGACTCTGATTAATCGACTGAACGTCTCACTTTCAGAAACAAAGTGAGTAAATTTTGAATATCTTAGAAAAAAATAAGATCGCAATACCGAATAATTCTCCTAAATGGAAAATTACATTATATAAGTATATAATACAATATATGAATTTACAATATTCATTTTTGTATTAGTGAAAATTTTCCTCCAGTGAAAAGGCTCTGTTGTTTTAGGATTCGAAAATTTTTCTATGGAAATTATGTCATACTTTTCCAAGAGAAGTTATTGTTGGGATAAGATGAGATATGCATTAGCGTCTCTTTTGTATGATATTCAACATATTTTTGAATTCAAAGTTTTAAATTTTTTTACATGGGTAAATGCTGGAGCTCGTGCTTTGAAAGTATGATAATAGACTTTCAATGGAAACTATTACTCTAGCACAATAAAGTTCACGCTTAATTAATGTTAATATTCTATCATTTGTTTTTAGGAGAACAATTGACAATTTTTGTCCTAAAATATTTGTAAAAAACGTCAATATTTGACTATGACTTTGTTTTTTTATTTTAAATATTAATTTTTTAAATAATCTGATAATTTACTATCAATCAGTCAATCAATCAATCAATCAATCATAATTTTTTTATTAATATTATACTGAAAAACTTTTATTACAAATTTTTTTTTTGTTGACATTATCTTTTGAAATCTGTCAGTGTTTGAGCGAAATGTTATAAAAAAAATGTTTTAGTAATTTCAAAGGTTATTTTAAATTCAATTTTATTGTGAAAATATTTACTAAATCAACTTTTTAAATTCGCGTTTAAGAAATTTCGTGGAATGTTTTTTTTAGCCTTGAATTTTTACATATACGTATAACGTAAGAGAAGAATTTTTTTCATATTTTCAATACCACATAAATATGCGGTCTCCTGGGAGGCGCAATCTCATATCACAACAATATTAGTGTTATGAGATTGTACTCAATGATAAAAAAAACATTTCAAAGGAATTTTTCATGATTCTTTGAATATTTTCATTATAAAAGAAAAATCCGTAAAAAAATTTTAAAAATTCACACGTTAAAAATTTTCAATTGTTTGCCTGCCTACAAAAAGTCAAGATGCTTGTTATGTATACACTTATTGTGATAAAATATGCGTATAAGGAAGAAAAAATTTTCTTAACGAAAATTTATGCGATTTTCATTGTGTATATATACATATGTATATATATATATACGTATATGTATGTATATATATACATATGTATAATGAAAAAAATATTGTATTGAAGCAGTGAAGTAAAAATTAATTTGACATTAAAAGTTATATAACAGGTGCAATGACATTTTGCTTTTTTCTTTTGTTTCATTCAACAAAACATGTTTGAAAAAATTTTAAGAATGAAATTTTAAACTGATAATTTTCAATTTAAAACTAAAATTTAAAAGGGAATTTTCATGTCAAATTTTTATATGAAAACTTGTGTTACAATGTTTGAAAACTGAAGGTTTTTTTGAAGAAATTTTGAAATGAAAGGCGAAAAATATGGCGCTTCAGTTTTACCTCACACAAATATACGGGTTTAAAAATATATTTGACATTAGAGAATGTAATTTTTTTACAATATTGAATCAAATTTGAGTAATTGTGATTAGTCAACAATAAATATTTATAAAAATCGATTTAAGAGTGAGCGAAATATCAATATCCGCAGGCACAATTAATAATAAAGTTGTGTCACACGAATGTGGTTTGTAGTGTAGCACTTTTCCCTTCAACAAAATATCAAAATTGTGCTTTTAAAAACAGTTTAGGTGTCCGCTATATTATATACAAAAATATTTCAAAAATTGCCTACATTTAGGATGAGCAATAGATGCATTCAATAAAACAAAGGATGAGCAATAAATACTTGAAATAAAACAAAAAAAAATTTAAAGAGGCGTTAACATAATGTTTGAATTTAAGGCTTAATTACGTGAGAAAAATAATTATAAATCTTTTAATATTTGATGTTAGCTTTATAGAAATTGTATAGAAAAAGCTTGTACGTGTAATATTACAAATTTCAACAGGCGATAACTTAAGAGGGGAAAGGATAACTAGAGATGGAAAGAAATTTTCTTCTAACGAAATAAAGTATTTGTTAATGTCTAAAAGCTGCTAAAATTTCAGACTTCTACAGTATGATGTCTAGAAGAAAAACGACATCAAAAATTTGGAAAAAAAAGACTTTAGATAACGGTAAATTTTTGTATTTTTGAAGTACAAATAATAGGAAGAAGCCTACCACTACTTTTCTACATGTGCAAAATCGCTGTAATTAATAGTTGAAAAATAGCATTTTTAGGGTTTTGGGGAGCTATAACTTTTAGAGGTGGGAGATAGGTGAAAATTGAAATGTCTATGTACATATGAAATTTAAGCTTTGTATCATTAGGGGTGTAGAAGTTTTTTAAAGATGTCCACTTTTTCAAAATTTTCTTAGAAAAGTGCTAATGCAAAATTTTGAGCAAATTTAATGCAAAATTTTGAGCTTCAGTTTTCATTTGTAAAAGTTTTAATTATCATAACGATCAAAAAGTTATCCACTGAAATAATAAAGTTTAAAAATACTTAGGAATTTAATAAAGTCAGTCAGATATAATTGGAATTTCCCTAATGAAATTTAAATAAAATGTTTAGGATAATTCAGTTTAACTTGCCCATAAATCTATAAACATAGATTTATTAAGAAATTTTAATTATTCCTAACAATTTCGTATATGAGAATATGAAATTATTAATGAATATTCTGTTAAGCAATATAAATATAGAAATTATGTAGGCCCAAATATTGTCATGACATTTTTATTCATTGTGAGTTTTTCTTAATAATATTTCTAAAAATATTTCTTTCTAATAATAAATTACGACCGTAATATTCCTGTTGAATTTACTCTGTAAATCACTTAAAATATATAAATAATAAAAATTATATTAAATTATTAATAAGGGGCTCTTATAAAAAAAAAAACATATTTTATATTTTTTATAAAGTAAAATAAATAAAAAATTATTTGAAAATTCTTATTCACTTTATGTCAGTTGCGATAATCTAAATTCTTATTTTTAAAAAAAGATAAATTATATTTTATTATATAAAGGATATTTTCACATAAAATTTCGTTTTTATTAAGCTAAAATGTGTGACATACAATCATTCTATGCATGTTTGTATATATGTATTTATGTATGATATACATACATATGTGTTGATAAGTTTTATATGTATTGTTATATATAGCATAATTGTTCAATTTCATGGTCTACCTAAAATAAAATTTATGATTTTTCCTGTACAATACCAAAAAGAGTCCTTAAAAACTTTTTTATTATATTATAGAAGTAGCGTCAACTTCATTAAATCATAATCGCTTTCATTCAAAATATCAAATATCACATGTTGCGTTTACCTTTTATAGTACATAAGATACACTTTAATCACCACATAGTATACATACATATATGTACTTAAACTTCAAAAGTCTCAAAAAAATAACCTTTTCCCACAATCATCAAAATATAATAGGTATACAATATGTATTATGATATTTAGGTATACCTACATAACGGGAAAGAATGAACCAAAATATTTTTATCTGTGCGTTTGTGTAGGCTTCTCTATGTATGTGCCATACACAACAATATATCTTTTTCAAGTCATCACACCTTTTATTGGTCGGTTGATATTTTTGGTTTTATTTTGTTGTGTCTTTTCAGCTCTTAAATAAAAATGCGTTTAATTTGTTCAGGGTAAAATTATAACAATATGTTATATGAATAGAAAGTATACAATATATTATTATAGACTATACCAATGTAAAGCTACATAAGATACAAACAGTGAAATTTTTGTACGCATATGTATGTAGTTTTTAATATTTTTGAGGTAGGAAAAAAAATTTCGTTATACAATAATAAAAAACAAATTTTTTTTATGAGGTCGCCTAAAAGCCTCTCATAATATTCTTGATGTAGTCTATTGTATATTTTTATACACATATATGTATGTACTTATTTTTGTTTGTTTCCTTTAATGCCATAAGTTTTATATACCTTCATTATTATTATTAGATGCGAGTAAAGAATTTTTATACACTATTGTTCATAACCTTAAATATAATAATAGTCTCCGGAAGATTTTATAGTACTTTTCTGTGGTATAGCTGAACTAAATGGCTCTTCATAAAAACCGTACAATACATATAATATGTAATGTATGTATATAATAAAAAGCATAGATATGTAGAATTTATATTCAAAATACGTCATGTATTCGTAAACAGTCAACCTTATTGTTTCATATTAATATCACACATAATAATAAAGATAGAATAGTAAAAATTAATTCATATAAAAGATGAAAACATTTTTAAGATCCTTGTGCATTGTATATATAGAAATAGTTTTTATGTATATTTGTATACTATGCAATTCTATTATAAATTTGGTGGTGTTTTTTGGTAAAACAAAGAAAAAATATTTTGATTGAAGGTCATTTTCATACAACCATTTCAATTTGTCATACCAAATTCAAACTTGGAATATTAAAGGAGCTGTGCGTAATTCATTCCATTTATAAATCATGCTGCCTTCATCTCTTAAATACGCTGTAACTACCAATTAGATGAACTGTTGCTGAACTGACCAGCTTCGTTTTCAAATATTGTACACCGCAACGTCTCCATAATGCGTTAAATCAATCGTTGTCGCATTGCATTATACTGTATTTCGCACGTTTCAATACGGAGGCTCTACTCCTCAAAGTTGCTAGAGCATTTACTTATTATTGCAACATAATTAGATTTTAAAACAAAGTAACTAAACACTGACTTCTTCCTTTTTGACCTGAGCTTGTAATATTAAGTACAAACAAATCAATTTTTGCCAAAGTAGGTGTATCTAAATTTTATTAATAACATTCTTTTACTTGATCAGAGCAATATTTTACATTTTACAGAATCATTTGTTGACTTATTTGAATTTCCAAATGTATAGGTAAAAAATGTACCAGGAATTTATAAAAAAATATTCCTGGAATTTTTTTCAAAATTATATTGAATTTTTATTTTCATACTTTTAATGTATGCAAAATACAAGTAATGTAAAATTTTCGTTCATGGAAAATTCAATAAGCTTTTTTATCGTTTTTCTTCGCGTTTTATACAAACATACATATTATTTTATAAATGAAAGTTCGACGGAATTTTACACATACTTTAAAAAAAACACAACCAAACGAATACCAAAATGCAAAAATGAAAAATATATGAGTAAAGTGGAAATAAAACAATAATGGCCAAGGAAACTAAATTCGAAGAAAGAGTCAAATAACAAAACAACAAAAATTCAATAATCAAAACAAATAAAATTAGAACATAAAACATTTTTCATAAAACTCATTTGGTATTACATGTATATAAATCTTACTTACCCTTTTGCATAATTTGTGCCCGGGAATATCCTGTTAGCTCAACAAATCCATCTGAACAATATACAATAGGATTTCCATTCGCTTGAGCATTTCCAAGAACAAAATTTGAATCTGTAAACAAAAAGAAAAAAAATTATAATTTTATATAAATATTTGCACCGTTTTATACACAACGACAAGTGTTTATACATACACAATTAAATAAGTGTATGGTAAATACCTTATTACATAAAACTTTTAAGTAAATAGAGAGATTGTTTTCAAAACAAAATCACCTCTGTATGGGAAAATGTTGGTGAATTTTCTTTTATAATGTTGTTCAAATCTGAAGGAATAATTCATTGTTTTTGTTTTTTTGCTCTTGAAGGTCTGAGTCTTATTTAAAATTAAAATTAAATAATTTATTGTTTAATAAAATAAATTAAGTGGAAATATAATTTTTGTTAGATTCTCTTTTAGTCTTCTCAATAATTTCTGTTTTCTTCCAAATGGGAATAATTGTACAACATATTTAAAATATTTAATTTAAGTAAAAAACGAACGAGGTTTTAAAACGAAATAATAGTGTAGCGAAACAGTTGTAGAAGGGGTTTGAAATGATTTTTATATACACTCACTTCGAATTGAAAAGAACGTTTCTTTCCCTACCCCAATTTTCGTAAATACGCTTTGAGTATTCTTACTAGTGAGTTAGTCAAATTTTCAATCAAGAGAATGTAGAAGCACAATAGTAGAAAAATTAGAAAATTTAAAATGTTAAGGCAAAATTAGTTGGCTACTGATGTACATTAGTATCCAAAATATATGTTTGTAGAGAAGTCAAGCTCCTTGTAGCCTATTTATCTCAAAAGTTGACTATTCAAACTAAGTTTTTATTTATTAATATTAATTTATTAAAACATACATATTTTTTGTACCAAATTTGGTATGAAAATAATATTGAGCTTCTTACTGCGGTCACCAAATGAATGTATTAACGACCGCATTGCATACAATAAAACACGTTATGTGACATCAATTAATTTCAAATGTGGAGTTTTAGGCGGAAATTCGATCTTCAATGTTAAGGAAGTGTAAAACTTAGAGAGATTTCTGTCGGACTACCTGTATGTTTGCTTGTTAAGTCAAATTAGTACGCCAAGGTCGGCTGAACCGATTTTAATGAAATTTTGTATGTGAGTTTATTTCGGCTATTCCCGAGTCCTGGGGCGGAGTTTTTTACGGGCCGATTTTTGCGCATATAAAATTAAATTTTTTTGAAATTTAATATTTGAATTCGGAATGTTAAAACAATGAATTTTCTTACTAAAGGCTTCCTTACTTCCTTAAAATTGGAAAAACTATTTAAAACGCATTTTAATGGTCTTGTGACTCTTTTGCTAAACTAGACAATAGTATTACGGTTGGTCACATCAAATTTCTTTTTAATGTAATAAACTTAAAAGTTTTAAATGATTACCATTTTTAGACCATATAACACTTATGTAATTTCCGAAACAATGTAAGTTATAAAATAAATTTCAACATTTAAACAAAGCAAAAACTGTAAAGATAATAGAGGAGAAAAGCTAGATCAGTAAAAAAGTACAAAATTTATAATGGTTGTCTGAAGACAAATTAATATAAACCAAAATATTTTTGATGACAAAAAACTTTATTTAGTAAGTCAACTGGGAATATCAATTAGAAAACTAATAAGTATAGGAGTTAATTTAAGAAAATATAAAACTTTTGAACTATTTGAAGTTTTATACAAACCTCAAATACTTTAGTACTTAAAAAAAGTCGAAATTTAATATTATGTAAAATTTTTTTTGTAAATAAAAATTAGGATTAAATTTAATTTTAATTACAAATTGATTGACTCCTTTGATGTGGTCAAAAGAATTTCACCAAACTAATTAAACAAATAACAAAAAATTTATTCCAAAAAAACCTTATATTTGTTACGAATTTAGTTGTATAATTTCTTATATATCACCAGTGCACAGATACACATATATATTATATACAGTTATTACAATCAACTTTCCGTACTTTATTTTTCCGAAACCGTAACTTTTCGAAATTTATATAAAAGCAGAAAGGTGACGGCAAATGCATCGTCTTCAAAAATGTAATAAGTCATCAGTCGTCGAATTAAACCATTATTTAAATACAACTTCTTGTTTTTGTCTTAATCCTCAAATTATGCAATAATAATTGCATAAATTTTGCAATGTGTATTTATATTTTATTGTTCATTTGTTCATTGTATATGTTTTAGAAACTTACGCTCACTCTAAATAGTATTCCCAAATAATACCCAAATGTGTTGTTTAGGTACAAGTGAGTTCTTATAATTAGAATTTTTTTTTTTTTAAATTATCACTTTAAAATTTTTCTTAAACTTATGCAAAATTCTAGGATAATGACAGAGATATTTTTAAAAGTATTAAGCTGACCAATTATTTTTCGTTTCAGTTTCTTAGACACAAAATCTTCTAAATACAACAGATATTTGACTTGTATTTTTGCCCAATGATGTAATATTCAAAAACACGTGTTTGATCAACTAGATTTTCGTTTTTTATAAGAAATACATAATAGAAAAATATTCAAAATGAGCTGCTGATATATTCTCAATAGATTTTTAAACAAGTCCACCTCTATCTCCATACATCTAATGTCATGAACATAGAGAACAAAAGTAATTTTTTTTTTGTGTGCTATTTTGTGGAAACCTACATAAAAATTTGTTTGAAACAAAAATAGTTTTTAAAACCGCAAAACCAGATAGCAAGAACAAAAAATAATTAAATTTTGAAAATTTATGTGTATGTACATACATGGTGTAGAGATTGGTTGGTTCTCTAAAAAAGAATATTATGAATTAGAGAAAAAGAAAACTGAAATTTCAAATCTGGAAAATCCAAATCTCTGTAAGTACTAAATTTTTGGGTATAATTTGAGTGGTCATTAAGAAATTCATCTTAATTTTTCTTTAATGCTTACAATGCATGTTTTTTAACAAAGTAACTAAATATCGTGTTAAAGACAGTCAGTACATTTGTATGACTTCTTCTATTTGAAATTTCTTCTTGAAAATTAATTTCTACACATTTTTCATCCAATGAATTCAAAATTCTTTAGTTAAAAATTATAATTTTTATTTATTTCTTTATTATTTCTAATATTTTCCTATTTGTAAATCTTTGTGTGCCTAAACATGCCTAAACACATGCATGAATAATGTTGATATAATCACAAGTCCTTTTATTAGATAATACGAGTAATAAAGGTAAAGTTTTTAATGGTATTAAAACAATAATTTTTAACTTTTTCAGTATCATATAAGAAGTTTCTAAAGAAACGATGACAACAAAATTAATTTCTGATAAAATGGTCAAGCTAAAACTTTAATATGAAGAAAAATTCTCTATATTATGGCATTGGAAAAGTGCGAGAAAAGTTTTTAGTTCTGGAATATGACACCATAATAATAACGCTCATAAGTATCGGAACATAAGCGTAAAGAAAACTTTTTAACACCAAAATCAAATTAATTTATTTTTAGCAAGAAGTGACGTAAAATTAAGCAGTAACTATATTCGAAATTGAGTTATACTCGAATTATTTTGGAATTATTTATCAGAGTTCAAAATTTGCTTTAACCAACAGCAGAGGGAACAATATATTAATTATTTAACTCCATTATTTTGTGTATTCTCTTTTTATAAATCTAACAGTTATAAAGTTTAATTTTAGCATTGAAACTTGATGCGTTCCCATTTACATTTCAATTACTGTACATTCATTTATTACTAAAATGAATATTTAACATGAGTAATAAATAAAATTAAAGATAGAAAATCTTTTGAACACATACAACATCCAGTTTATAAAAACAAAGAAAACCGATTCAAAATGTCTATATAAAAGTTGATAAAACGAAAAACCTCTCTATAGAAAATTTTCGAAAACAAATCAGTATGACTTAAAGGACATGATATTTCAATTTTTGTTTTTGGACTTTATTCATAAGAAAACCAAAATTATCCATCATCAGTACAACAATAATCTTTCACCATAACTCTCATTTTTTTTATATGACATTGACATTATATTAAAGTTTTATCTGTACAAAGGGGATTTTTATTTATTCCTGATTAAAACAAAAGTGAAAAGAAAACATAAAAATCAAAGTAAAACGAAAATAAAATAAAAGAAGAAGAAGAAGAAGACGAAGAAGAGAAAATACGTGAGGTGAAAATTGAAATTTTCATCATCAGGCTCCTGCCGTTAAATTAAAGTTAAAGGGAAAAATATTGAAAACATTTTCTTTTTATTTTAAAACTTCCTTTCTTTTTCAAGGATAAAGACACACAAAATACAAAAACCAGAAATAAAAGAAGAAAAAATTTTGTAATAACTTTTATAGGAAAAGCAAAAAGAAAAAACCAAGTATGTTTGAAATTCAGAAAAGGCTATCATTAAATTTATTGACAATAAAAAACAACACAAAGAATGAAGTGCTGCTACGACTCTTTAATGTACATAAAGCTAGAGGACCATAAATGAAATAGAAAATAAAAAAAAAGCAGACAGAGGCCCATTATACTTATAGGTGGTTTCAAAGAAATCAGATGATATTTTCTTCTAAAATATTGTAATCAGATCTGTAAGTATGTTGATATCTCAAATATATGTACGTATATGTATATATTGTAGATTTAGTGTGTTTGTATGCATAAGTATGTAAATTTTATAATGATTTTGATTTTTTTGTGTGATACTGTTTGATAGATTTTACAATTTTAATTTATTTTTTTGTTAATTTAAATCTACCCACAGTCTGCAATAATGATAAATTTGGAATTATTGAATAATCAGAGTTTGAAAACTTTTGTAAATTAAAAGGGCCAATACTCTACAGATCAAAAATATGTTATAAAAAAAGAATGACCTTAATAATTTTTCACTATAAATCTTTGTTTGTTAAGAGTAAAATTATTTATCAAAGTTTAAAAAACATCTAGAAGGGTTTTCATATAATATTCTTGCTGAAATTATGAATACGGAACTTTCAAACGAATAATTAATAATATCTTGTATTGTAGGTAATTTTGCTA